TCCAGCTTGTTTTCTGGAAGAAAAAAAAATGCAGGTTATGAAGTGAATTTTAAAATCAGAGCCAATCAGGATACAAGAAGCTTCTGAATGTCGGTGGAGGATCCAAAACATTCAGCTTTTGTCCATTCTGAGGAAGAAGAAACTCTTAAACAGACTGATGTGAATCTCTAAACTGTCTCCCTGCTGTGATCTAACGGCTGCTCTTTAAACCCTACAGCTGGCTGCAGCGTCAGCGCTAACGAAGCTAAACCTGAGACGATGTGAGGGGAGGAGGAACCAGAAACACCTGCCGGTAAAATGGGGAAGCTGTGGTGAATGTGGGGGGGAGGAGGGGAGGTTCAGGGTGAGGAGAGGGGGCGGGGTCACATACGTGCTGCATTCACCACTGCAGAATGGCGAATACCTCTGAATACAAGGACTGGACAGCCGTCGGGCCTGACGGATCTGAAAACGACAGTTTACGGTTACAGAGAAGAGCTGCTTTCCAAAAAAGCCACACAGCTTCTGCATTAGCTCGGATTGCTCAGGAGACACTTAAAGGATGATTGTTATTGGTGCAAAATGTTCCTAACGAGTTGTTTGGTTTGAGAGCTTTAATGTAGCTTAACCCTCTGGACTCCCTGTAGGGTCAGTTTTCTACTGAAGTCCTCTCTGGAAACAGAACCACCATGAATGAAAGTGTTGAGAACTCAGAAATGTCTCGACACAAATCATGAAAACGAGAAAAAACTAAAGCTGAATCTTTTGATTATCTGTTTAACAAAAATGTTACAAACTCATCATTGGTCACACGACTCCTTACGGTCGCTTTGTGTCTAGTTTTTGTTATTTTCTGTCATGTTTGTGTCTCCTCTTTTGCCATTTCATGCCTCAGATTGGTCGGTTTGTCTCCATATATTCTAGATGTTGAACTATCTCCATGTTTCCAGACTTTTCCTTTCTGTTTATCAGATGTAGAAAGATGTTTCACCATCAGCTGGATGTATCTCCAACATCTGGCTCCTCTGCTCTGGTTCTGATCCATGCTGCATTTATTTATTGATCCACTACGCTTCAGTTTCTTTTCTGCTCTTCCTGCAGTTCAACCTGAAAACTTCACGGCGTCTCAGTTGTGCCAATAAATGCAATTTTTTTTTTTTTTTTTTTAAAGCATATGGCACAAACATGTAATTTTTGGCAAATTTAAACGAGATAAAGGTTTAAATGACTCGTACATTAAAGTGATTTTAACAAAATATCGTGATTTTAAGATTGAATCTGGTTTATTGTTCCACTTGTCACACATGATTTGTTTTAAAAAATCTCTGTTTTCATAGTTTCTGGCTGATAAACAGTCATCATCATTATCCTGATTTTTTTTTTAATTTAAAAAGATGAAATGCCTTCAACAGTCGGTGGGGTTCAGAGGGTTGAGCTGCTCTTAGTCTACGTCCTCCAATAGTGACGTTGTATTCGTGATTCGTGATGAAAACGTTTACCTCTTGAAACGTTAGGCGGCTTTTTAAAACGCCCCTGATTTCAGATGTTAGAGTTCAGTGATTTAAGCTGTTGTGTCCCAGTAACGCAGACTGAATGACAACAAGCATAAAGCCTGGTGTCATTTCCTTCTGCAGGATCATTGTGTGGTTTTGGAAGGAAGCTCTTCAGACAGAAAGTCCAGACAAAGAAAGAGAAAGTGTGTGAATGTCTGTGTTTGTGTGTGTTTTGGGAGAATCAAGAACAAAACATGAAAACACACTTCAGTCATCATCAGGTCGTAAAAACTCCTGAAAATGCAAAAACAAATCCACATAATGAAAGTACAACATGGAAAATGCACATTAATATGAAAACATCTAACGAGCCACAGTCTGGTTTACGATCATCAGATTATTTAAAATCAGCTAAAACTTTTGTCTGCTGCAGTGACTCTTTCTGCCACACGGTGGCGCCACGTCATTAACTAACCTCAACACTTCCTGCAGCAGTGATGGCAGCAGCAGGAACACTGCAGTGACGTTTACGGACCAATCAGAGGAGAGGATTCAGCAAACTCAGGAAGTAACATGAATTCTTTATCACAACATCTTTTTTATCATCTTCGTGGCTCCACATGTGAAGTTCTCGTGTTCTAACAACGACATCAGTTTTAGTTTATAAAGCTCTTAGTTCAGGCTCAATCCAGCAGTTTGTTCCCGTGTCTGATCTCCACTAAACGTTAAACCGTGCTGAAGGTGTAAAGCCCGTCCAGGTGTGAGGATACCTACAGTGGCGGCTGAGCGTCCGGGGCCCCGCTGGGCCACGATGGCCCCTGAGATGGCCTTGATCCAGCTGTGCATGTCCTCTGGACTGTCGGCCTGAAACAAACACACAGGTGGAAACGTGAGGTCTGACCAGCAGGTCGACGTCTGCCCTCCTGAGCCTGGTTCTGACGGTTCTGACAGTCCTGACGGTCCTGACGGTTCTGACGGAGGCCTCTTTCCTTCGCTGCTCCGTCCTTCAAAACGTCTCAACACAAACGCTTCATTCTCTTTCTTCGTTTTTCACAGATCACATGAAGTAAATCACAACAATCATCTCAACAGAAACATTACTCAGCAGGTTCACAGCATCTCCTTATTTTAGCTTTACAAATAAATTTAACTAAAATTTGGCTCATGGACCCATTTGGTGACCAATATGTCGATGGTGAGGTCCAATAATGAGCTCTTAAAGCAATAAAGCGTCGATAACCAGGAGATTAATGCACAAAAGCATCAAACACCTGGATATGAACATAAAGAAGTTCCAACAAACTGGACATTAACACACTAAAACTGCAATAATCTGGATATTAACATAAAAAAAGGATCAATAATCTGGATATTAACATAAAAGTCGTGTAAACAGCCTCGATGTTGAAGCACAAATGTGTGAAAAAACTGGATTTAATGCACAAAAATGCCAAGAACCTGGATATCAATGTAAAAAAGCACCAATATCTTGGATAATACCATGAAAAACTTCCAATAGTTTGGATATTACCACAGAAAAGTGCCAATAATCTGAATACGAACACAAAAATATTAACATAAAAAGTGTAACTAGCCTTGATTTTGATGCACAAACGTGTGAAGAACCTGGACTTCAAAGCAGAAAAAGTGCCAATAACTTGGATATTATTGCTTTTTGAGCTGTTTTTAGTCTGGATTTGTTCACATTTTGTCAAACTGGTGCCATTAAAAGCCTGTTTGTGGTGTATTCATGGATTTACAGACTATCACTGGGTCACTGTGAAGAAAAGTGATGCTTCTGAACTGAATGAAGCTCGTGGATCCACCATGAATAAGACAACCGTGTTTAGGTACCTGGATGTAGAAGGTTCTGGAGCTGGTGACCATCTCAAACAGGTTGTCCCTCATCATCAGGTCGCTGCAGAACACAACGGTTTGTTTAACAACCTGCACTGAAGCAACATCAGAAAGCTGCAGAGGAGGAGAAGCTGCTGACCTCTGTTTGCACTCCTGGACTTTGTGAATCTCCTTCAGAGGAATCACTCGGAGCGCCTCACGCTCCTGGAAAGAAGAAAACAACATTTCTGTACGCAGCCTGAAGTTTCCTGAGTCCACTCTGGGATGTATCTCCCTCCTGTGATGGTTTTATAGCTCTGTTCTGTTTTACTTCTGACTCAAGTTCACTACAATCTGTTTCTGGTGTAAAAAGAGGATCTGCTTTCACGTGCACGGCTCAACGACCAACAGCTCAGGCATCATGCAGCTTCCGACTTTTCCAGATTAAACTAAACTAGTTTTTGACAGTTTAAAGCAGTGATATCAGATTTTAAATCACATTAATGTAAATTTTATTAGGCATAATTAATTTTTAATACCTAGAAATGAACAAAATAATAAATAAAATAACTTTTTTTTAAGGAAAATAATGTTTAAAATGAATTTATTAAGATTTTAAAATGTTAAAAATTTTTTTTAAAAGTTTCAAATTGGAGCTCACCGTCCTCTCATACATGATGTCATTCATCGATGTTGTTGATTTGTAAGATTTTTGATTTAAGAATAAGATATTTTTTTATCAAATGCACACATTATGTCGTTCTATTTTCATTTTAAAACACATCACTTCCACTATTTACACTTTACTCCTATGTTTAAAAAAAATGCAATTAATCTTAATTTTAATGCACAAAAGTTTAAATAATCTGGATGTTAATGCACAAAAACCATATCAGTAACCTGGACATTAACAAAAACATGACTATAAATGAGATATTAACACACCACAGTGTAAATAACCTGGATACTAATATTAAAAAGTACCAATAACTTTGAAATAAATGCAGAAAAATATAAATAACCTGGATTTTAACATAAGAAAGTACCTGGAACCTGGATATTAATGCACCAAATTGTACATAGCCTTGATATTATTGCACAAAAATGTAAATATCTGGATATTAATCTAGAAAGCACCACATTAAAAAAAAATTTTTTTTTAAATGTAAAAAGGAATAATTAATCTGGATATTAACATTAAAAAGTATCAATAACTTTTAAATAAATTCAAAAAAATATAAATAATCTGGATTTTAACATAAAAAGTACCTTGAATCTGGATATTATTGCACAAAAATTGTAATATCCTGGATATTTATATAGAAAACACCAGTTATTTTGAAATCAATGTCAAAAAAGTAGAAATAACCGGAATATTAACATAAAAGTGTTAATAATCTGGAAATTACCGCACAAAGGTTTCAATAATTTGGAAATTAAAGCACAAAACTGCAAATAACCTGGACATCAACACAGAAAAGTAACAATAACATTGATATAAATGCATAAAAGTGTCAATAAACTGGATATTAACACACAACAGTATGAATATTATATTATTAGACACCATAATGTGAGTCTATATAATAAATGTATGTAGTAAAGCATCAATAGCTGAGATAATAGCATGAATAAATTCCAGTAAACTGACTATTCACACACAACGTACTGGTCGGCTGACACGGAGCTAAAAGCTTGATTTGGCTTTCCTTCTAAACTGGATGTTTCTGCGTCTGTTTCACACCTCCAGCGGAGGATAAACGGCCTGAACCCTCCAACGCTGGGTGTGTCCGTGCATGAGCTCAGACGGGCTGCGGTTTGGACGCTAGCAGCTAATCTGTCCACACGTGGATCCGCTGAGGAGGAATTCAGGACGCATGCCGCGGCGTGTTGACGCTCACAAGCACCGCAGGGCGAAGCCAGGCATGCAACACACTCACACTCACACACACTCACACACACTCACACACAC